ATCAGGACCCTGCTTGATGTGCACAGAAAAACACAAATAATCTGCTGGACACACGTGGACCCACAATAGATCATCCGCCATATTAGTTTTTACGATAGGAAGCCGGCGCGTAAACCGAAGATGTTCGCCGGAGATCAGATGACGTCACGTCAGTTTGGCGGATGGAAACAAGTGACGACCTTCGTGTAAAGGGTTTTACTTCTGGCCCCTTATAAATAATGGCATTTCAGTTAAGAAATGCCCGTTTCTTCATATGCTTGTTAAGACAGTATTCTGTAAATAACTTCAGCTTTCAGGTAAGTCGTAGGTCCAGACGACAAGTTTCAAGCCCCGGGGAGGTACTCCTGGGAATTCTTGGTGGTGGTGTGCCGCCCGGTTCTCCAAATCCTGACCCGATTTCAGACCAAAGAATGTTATTTGCACGCCCGTTTTCAGACCAGACCTCTAAAATCCATACCCGTTTGCAGACCTAGCGTTTAGGCAGAAATTATGTCATAATTAGTAAGATTAGAGCGCAAACAAAAAAATTCTTCAGATCAATTTAGAATTCGCATATTTCTCTTTCTTTCCTCTTCATTTGGAACTGAGACGATAAATATGTTCATTCACTCCCGTAGTTCCCTCGAAAACCATACCTGATTCCAGACCAAAAGTATGGGGCGCCGTTTGTAAAAAAAATGATTTAGCTTAATTTTGTCATTTTTTTCGTTATTTATTAAATAAAGTTTTCTGATATGATATCATACGTCAATGATTTGATATAATAAATGTTGATTTCAAATCATGCGTTTATGATTTGATATAATAAATTATTATTTAAAATCATGCGTTTATGATTTGATATAATAAATTCTGATTTCAAATCATACCTTTATGATTTGATATAATAAATTATTTTTTCAAATCGTACCTTTATGATTTGATATAATAAATATTGATTTCAAATCATAAGTTTATGATTTGATATAATAAATCCTGATTTCAAATCATAAGTTTATGATTTGATTTAATAAATACTGATTTCAAATCATTCGTTTATGATTTGATATAGTAAATCCTGATTTCAAATCATAAGTTTATGATTTCATATAATAAGTTCTGATTTTAAATCATAAGTTTATGATTTGATATAATAAATCCTGATTTCAAATCATAAGTATATGATTTCATATAATAAAAATCATTATTTGATATCAGTAAAACCATGATTTAACGTAATAAGTAATAAGTAACCGCGTGACTTGGCACGTGGGTTATTAGCGCGGGAATAATCGCAAAGATGGCGACACAACAAGATCAGCTATCGAGGTCAATTGCTTCTGCGGTCTCTAGAGCCGTAGAAAGGGCGGTTGACCAAGCTTTGGCATCCCTTCCGATCATGGGAATCGGCAGACCGATAGTATCAGGGTGTGATGGCCCAACAGAGAAATTATCATCATTTGTCGACAAACTCCTTCAGCCGATAGCACAACAACAAAAGTCTTATCTTAAAGATACTACCGACTTCGTCAATTTCATAGAAAATACGAAAGTCCCAGTGGACGTCATACTTGTTTCAATGGACGTTACGAGCTTGTATACAAATATACCGCAAGAGGAGGGAATAGACACGGTATGCAGAGCATACGAAATATTCTATAGAAACGAACCTCCTATCCCTACACAACTACTAAAATGAGCGCTCAGGCTAATTCTCCAAGAAAACTCTTTCCAGTTTAATGGAAAAAACTACCTTCAAACACATGGTACGGCCATGGGCACAAAAATGGCAGTCGCCTTTTCTAATATATTCATGAACTAGGTAGAGACGGAAATCCTTAGCCGAAGCCTTTTCAAACCGCTCGTTTGGAAACGTTACATAGACGACATCTTCTCGCTCTGGACTACAAACAGAGCCAGAATAGAACATTTCATTGAACAAGCAAACAATCATCACCCTACGATCAAATTTACGGATGAAATTTCCGATAAGGAAACAACATTCCTGGACACCTACATCTACAAAGGGGAAAGATTCGAAAGAGACGGAATCCTTGATGTGCGTACTCATTTCAAACCAACTGAGAAATTTCAGTATACCCATTTTGCTTCCTGTCACCCGCAAGGAGTTAAAAAGGCTTCATTAAAGGGAAGCCCTCCGACTCCTCAGAACAAACTCTTCGAACTAATATTCGAAGAGAAAATTACAAATTTCAAAGCGCATCTGCTACAGAGGGGTTACCCAGAGGATCTCATTAACACAACCCTCTCAGAGGTGAACTTCAAAGACAGGAAACTAGCTCTTCAACAGAAACCAAAGACAAACCAACGAATCTTGCCTTTTGTCACACAATACCAACCATCAGTGCCAAACCTAAAGCAAATTCTCATGAAAAACTGGCATTTAATAGAACAACAACCATCACTGAGCGAAATCTACAAAAAACCGCCCCTCGTATCTTATAAAAGAGGGCGGTCGCTCAAAGACATACTCGTGAGAGCCAAACTATAGAAAGGCTATTTTAAACACGTGCTGGGGAGTCGTGTAGGCCTGTCAACCCCATTTTACACCTTGTGTCGCAGGAGCAAAACCTGAATTGCCAGGAAGGCTCGGAAGGGATGCCAAAGCTTGGTCAACCGCCCTTTCTACGGCTCTAGAGACCGCAGAAGCGATTGACCTCGATAGCTGATCTTGTTGTGTCGCCATCTTTGCGATTATTCCCGCGCTAATAACCCACGTGCCAAGTCACGCGGTTACTTATTACTTATTACGTTAAATCATGGTTTTACTGATATCAAATAATGATTTTTATTATATGAAATCATATACTTATGATTTGAAATCAGGATTTATTATATCAAATCATAAACTTATGATTTAAAATCAGAACTTATTATATGAAATCATAAACTTATGATTTGAAATCAGGATTTACTATATCAAATCATAAACGAATGATTTGAAATCAGTATTTATTAAATCAAATCATAAACTTATGATTTGACATCAGGATTTATTATATCAAATCATAAACTTATGATTTGAAATCAATATTTATTATATCAAATCATAAAGGTACGATTTGAAAAAATAATTTATTATATCAAATCATAAAGGTATGATTTGAAATCAGAATTTATTATATCAAATCATAAACGCATGATTTTAAATAATAATTTATTATATCAAATCATAAACGCATGATTTGAAATCAACATTTATTATATCAAATCATTGACGTATGATATCATATCAGAAAACTTTATTTAATAAATAACGAAAAAAATGACAAAATTAAGCTAAATCATTTTTTTTACAAATGGCGCCCCATACAAAAGAGGCAAAAGCTATGCTCATTTTCAGACCAAGAAGGTGCAAAAACCCTACCCGATGGGGCGGCACATACCTACATAGCTTATATAGGGGAGTACCCCCAGGTTTCAAGCCCGGGGCTTGGAGGGTATTCCTGGGACTTTTTGGTGAGGATGTGCCACCCAGTTCTCCAAATCCTGACTCATTTTTAAACCTAATATAGATAAAAGTTAAGTCATCATTTTTTCACTTGAGCTTGAACAAAAAGGCTTCATAAAATCCATTTCGAATTTCCATATTACTCTTTCTGATTCATTTGGAATTGAAACAACAAATACATTCATACACTACTGTAGATTACTGTAGATTACCTCGAAATCCAGACCAAAATAAGGAAAATCTATACCTGTTTTCAGACTTAAATGGCACTAAAACCATACCCTTTGGGCTGGCACATATCCATATGGCTTATATAAGGGAGTAACCCCTTGAGGTCTCAAGCCAGCCTGACTCTGGCCAACCTGGGGGCCAATTTCATCTTCACTTGCCTCCACCACCTACAGATGAGAGTCTCTGAGAGGTGGGGGGGGGGGAGCTTCATAAGCTTTTTCTCTAGGGGTCACTGCATTGGCTCCTCTAGTCTTTAGAATATTTCTGAGGGATTTTGGAAAAAATCCCCCTCATTATGGAATTCTGCCTATTGATCCACGCCGCCCACAAAGTCGTGGGTCCCATGACTATTTGCACGCACACAAAGCATACCGACACATGTCGCTTCCTTTGACTCTAGACTGAAGTGTTAGATTATTGTTTCTATGATAAAAAGGTAATTTAACTTAAGCAAATCGATGATTCGAGCTTTTGTGGTACTCTCCACTTTATTAGGAAATGCAAACACTCATCTTGTAAATTACTTTGACTTTATAAAATATTTTAACGATTTAAGCCTGTAAAATGTATGGAACGCCAGAAAAAACAACAAACGGTTTCAAATTGCGGCCATAGTTGTTTTTATCAGTATGCAAATCACCTACCTGTTCTCTGTTTGTTCATTGGCTTCCCTCTGGAGTAGGACCTTGGGCTAACCAGGGCAATATGTTGGGAAAACAAGGGTATGGATTGGTTTTTTTGTCCCTGGAGATGGGACATTTCTCGACATTGTTTTATGTTGAATGGAAAGGGGTTGGGGAATTGCACAACAACCATGGGTATGGGACGAGGATTCATCGCTTTCCTCAGCCAATAACGTTTCGGGAACGCAAAAGGCTAATACACATTTTCCAGCTGCCAAATTTATCAGATAAAAAGTGGAGAAGGGAATGGTGGCTTTATCTACTAAAAGAGTTGCAACTGCTATCAGTCTAAGGATGTTCTTTCATTATACTGATTTTTTAAGAAAAGATATCATATTGCTTCTCTAAGCTAAAAATGCATCAGTTAAATTTTATCCACAACTATCATAGCCATATATAAGGACGATATCAGAGGGATTTTTAATCAAGAAGCACTTGAACCAGGGGACTTTGTCTTGCTGAATTCCCACACCCCCAGGGGAAATTGTCATCTTTGCTCCACTCAATTTACAATCTTCGGGGCTGGCCAGGGATTTTTCCTTAGGGGGAAGCCAATGACGGGTACATTATAAACCCTCATATTCCTGTCTGTTTTACTGTGACATGTCCTCTCTTTCCAGGGACCCCAGGCTTGTATGAGGATATTTTCTGGAATCCAGCCAACAGGAACTATGCACATTGGGAACTACCTAGGAGCAATCAAAAATTGGGTTTCACTTCAGGAGGAAAGTGAAGGTGCTGTGATATATAGCATTGTAGACCTGCACTCCCTTACACTCCCTCAAGATCCTGCTAGTCTGCAACAAAGTATCAGAAATATGGCAATTTATCTTCTGGCTTGTGGAGTTGATCCAGTAAAAAGCATCCTCTTCCAGCAGTCTCAGGTAAGCCTATATGATTAAAGATTTCAGAGCACCAATTTTAACACTCAGTCTAACGTTAACTAGATGGCCCTGTTATGACAGGGACTACACTGTACATCAGAGGTACCTCTGAAACTATCGTACGTATTCTACAAATTACCTTACAACATGCACGTTGCACGCAAACCGATAACCACTTTACGACATCTTCTTACTAATGTCAAGAACAAAGACAGACTGGAGGACAGACAGGGAGCAGTACTATACAAGATCAAATGCTGCGACTGCCAGGCTACTTACATTGGTGAGACTGGCAGAAACCTTAGCACACGACTGACTGAACACAAATGAGTGACAAGAAATGGTGATGTCAACTGTCACATCGCTGAGCACCATTTACAAACGAAACATCAAATCGACTTGGACTCTGCAACATGCATAACATATTCTACAGACTACTATCAATGACTCACTTTAGAAAGCTGGTTTACAAACTTAGAACAAATGCCACTGAATTGCAGTCAACAATTTATTACCAGCACCGTACAAATGACTTATTGACGGACTCAAACAAAACTGACAATGACAGAATGACTGATGAGCAACAATTTGACTCACAATAAATGACTGTCCAACTGTGAAAAAAAGATGGATCGAAACGCACCAATGACATTTGAGAGTCTTTTTAGCCAATAACATCACAGCTTAACTGACAAATGACCAATAACACCGTGACTTAATTGACCAGTCAGGTCAACAACCAGAGTTTAATACCATCAACTGACAAGATACAACTCACTTTGATTCTGAAGATGACCACAGCACAGGTTGTTGAAACATCCGTCACTGTCAACAACAGGAGTATATTCACCCAAACAATCATACTTAACCTACTTATGGAATGACTCTTGAGTTGAGACCTTTCACATTTTCATTGTAACTGCTGAGAGCTATTGTAGGTCAGCTGAAAGTGCAAGCAAATTCTCAGCTGGTGGAGCAAGAAAAAGGCTTCCAAATTCTTCTTCTCCCTCTCTCTTAATGTCAGTTCCCTTGCCTGTATCTCTGAGAGCTTGCTTTCAAGCTTCTGGCAATAATCATTCAAGCAGTATTGGGATACCACTCTATTCTCTGTGTGCTTCAATACAATACATTAATCTCAGAATTCTCCCTACACTGTAATTTCTCCTCCCAGACATTAAAAAAGATACTTCTGTCAATGCAGATAATCATTAGTTTCAGAGCCTTTAAAGATTACATTGCCCACCATCTATTTAGGGCTTAAAACACTTGAATTCCAGCTTGTCATTTTGGCAAGCAGCTCTCACATTTAACTTCAACCTGGGGCCACTTCCTACTCGTCTTAGTTAAATGATTTTGTCAGAGGATGACTTGGACCCTTGGCCATTGGAAAAGTAAGTTTCAAAAGTTACTTGGCCTGCATGAAAGTCCACGTCCCGGACTACCGACCGGATAGGACGTTCTTCAAGCTCTGCATCTCTCCTTATTATTTTGTTTCATTGTATGAAAGGTATCCCAGCATGTAGAGTTGGCTTGGATTTTAGGCTGCATGGCTCCCACAGGTTTTTTAAATCGCATGCACCAGTGGAAGGTAATGTGTGGCCATTATTTCATTGCTCATTTAATGTGACAAAATGTAATTTAGGCAAAGTTAAACTTGAACCAATAATGCTGGTCAGCAGTTTCTCCAATTTTGCATGGGGTGGCCCCTATGCCCTGAGCGGGCACACCTAACGACTTGTATACACAGTTGCTTGATTGAAGTTCACTCAAAGTGTCTTTTGCTATATATAGTTTTTTGTTTCTTGTTTGCCGTTTTAGTGCTGTGTTTCTGCCAGCCCTTCTCCATATTTAGTTAGGGGATTGATAAGTGTTAGTAGGTAGTTATTCCACTGAGCAATTAAGTATGATGGTGCCTGGTGGGTGCTGCTCGCAGCATTGCCATGGATACCTCCTTTCTCATGCTAGAGCATTGACATGCACATGACTTTGTTTTCCAATTTTTTTTTTCAGACAAAAGGAAATGAAAACAAGGAACAAAGTTGCTTAGGACTCTATTCATACCCTGTTTTAATGGCAGCCGACATTCTCCTTTACAAGTAATCTTGATCATTATGAATTTGCAAAGTTAGACATAATTCTCATTTTTATCTGTCAAGTGAGCATCTATACCTGCATGAGTCTTGTGCCTGCCGACTAAAGACATTGATCTCTGCCACACATCAAGGGCACTTTCTCAAGCCTTAACCAATATTCAAATTCAATTTCCCCAGATATTCCAAAAAGGCGCTTAATGTTGTCTTTGTATTCTAACAGTATCACATTATGCTAATATTGTCGCCTTTTAAATAGCTTTGGAAGTGCTCAAAGGTCATCGGAACATCTTCAGGGTAACGTTCACAAATCTTTGGAAGTGGGCGGTACATTTTTGGAGATCCCAGTCGTCACAAGATAAAAATCTCATGCATCTGACTCAGAAAAAGTTGGCAGGTAGAACTGAGTGGGAATTCTGACAGATATTAATTTATTAACCATTTACCCATTTGAATTTTCTTCAGAGCCACACATGTTCCAATTGGAGAAGACCAACTTCAACACCTGGAACTTGCCAGAGAACTTTGCCGACTGTTTAACAGCAAATATGGAGTCTTTTTTCCTGTTCCCAAGGCTATACTAGGTAAAGCATTAATTTTTATGTCTGTTATCTGTGAACCAGCTATTTAAGGTGACTCGACCCAGTTTTTTTTTTTTTTTTTTTTTTTTTGAGGGGGGGGGGGTACCATCCTACTTTGAAGCTCTCTGGTATCCCCACCTTTACTTTTATCGTAAGTCTAACACATAGAATGGATAACATGATTATAGATCAATCTACAATATAACTTAAAATTTTGGGGGATCAAAGTAAATGTCACGTGGTTATAATGCCACGCCCCTTTGAGGTCTGAGTCGAAAATCTGCTGTTGCCGCCATTTTTTCGTGAAAATCTCTCTGCTACACATAGTGCGCATTAGTGCCTTGCGCTGAACAGAGTTTCACCAAAATCGCGAAGACCCAATTCGAGAAATTCAGTGGTTTTCAAATTTAGGTCATAATTTATGCGAAAATGATAAGCAAACTTAACACAATTATATCTAATAAACTATGAGATTCATCCCTTTATTTTAGGCATCGTTATAACAGATGGGTCCTTGCAAGTTAGCAAAACGCTTTAGGGCCTTGTAACTGCGCGCGATTTCGAGCAAAGCAAACATATAGAAACTATAGTTTTCGCTATCTGTTGATGTTTGTCAGCATTTAAGAGTTCTTGTCACGAAAAAAGCATTTTCTTAAAAATTCGTACTTTTTTTTCCTTCAAATTTTTCCAGGGCCACAATTGATTAACTAACTACCCGGACTCTGAATTTCATGGTCATTGAAAAACTGTGACATTATCTTCTATAAGCCCAAACTTGAGTAAACATTGAAGATTTTTAGCATTTTGGCTGAGTTTGTGCTTTGGGAGTTGTCTATTGTTTCTAGTCTGTCATTATACAGCATTCTTGTTCAGCACGCGTACATTGACCGGGCTTGGCTGACTTCCGAATGCTCACCGAGATATGATAATTTTGGTACAATGAGACAGGCCATCATGTGATACATAGAGGTTTAACTCACAATTTTTAATCAATTCTCGTGCTTCTTGTGCCTTTGCGAAAAAATCAAGAAGTGCTACACACTAAATCTACTTACTATTAAAAAAATATCATTTTTCCATAGGTTTAATCCAAGCCAACTCCCGTCACGAGTTGGTTTAATTATTAAACCAACTCGTGACAGGAATCCCTTCTATTTTCTCATGAATACTAAATTATCATATCTCGGTGAGCATTCAGAAGCCAGCCAAGCGCAGTTATTGCACGCGTGCTGAACAAGAATGCTGTATAATGACAGACTAGAAACAATAGACAACTCCCAAAGCACAAACTCAGCCAAAATGCTAAAAATCTTCAATGTTTACTCAAGTTTGGGCTTATAGAAGATAATGTCACAGTTTTTCAATGACCATGAAATTCAGAGTCCGGGTAGTTAGTTAATCAATTGTGACCCTGAAAAAATTTGAAGGGAAAAAAACTACGAATTTTTGAGAAAATGCTTTTTTCGTGAGAAGAACTCTTAAACGCTGACAAACGTCAACAAATAGCTAACACTATAATTTCTATATGTTTGCTTTGCTCGAAATTGTGCGCATTTACAAGGCCCTAAAGCTTTTTGCTGACTTGCAAGGACCCATCTGTTATAACGATCCCCAAAATAAAGGGATAAGTCACATAGTTTATTAGATATAATCTTGTTAAGTTTGCTTATCATTTTCGCATAAATTATGACCTAAATTTGGAAACCGCTGTCAAATTTTTTGAATTGGGTCTTTGTGATTTTGGTGAAAAACTCTTTTCAGCACAAGGCACTAATGCGCACTATGTGTAGCCGAGAGATTTTCACGAAAAAATGGCGGCAACAGCAGATTTTCGACTCAGACCTCAAAGGGGCGTGGCATTATAACCACATGACATTTACTTCGATCGCCAAAAATTTTATGTTATATTGTAGATTGATCTATATTTTATCCATTCTGTGTGTTAGACTTGCGATAAAAGTAAAGGTGGGGATACCAGAGAGCTTCAAAGTAGGATGGTACCCCTCCCAAAAAAACTGGGTCGAGTCACCTTAATGAGAATGCTCAGGTCCTGTGTCTGACAGGAAATGATTTGTGTGAG